AAAAAAAAAAAAAAAAAAAAAAAAAAAAAAAAAAAAAAAAAAAAAATTATAGCAAGTAGGTACTTATAAGTATACCCTGAGCGCGAGAGGAAGAAAAGAAAGACAAAGCAGGCGGTGCATCAGGCGCGGTAAGTAAGGAGGTATACGTGTACATATTATATAGCAGACCGTTAGCCGCGTCTGCGCCGTTAACGGATTAATCGCCGACTAACTATACTTACTTAAATACGCACGATGCTCACGCCTCCTGACTTCATACACCTTGTATGTTACACAGAACGGGTGTAGGTATACCTATTACTCGCCATACCTTCTCATGATATTTAAATATTATTTTCCGTGTGTTTAATATATTAAGTATACCCACGTGCAGTGTATATGCAGTAGCGCGGATAATTAACAATAATATACTTGAGTGTTCGCGTGTATGCTCCCCTTATCTGTCATATGTCGTGCCTATACAATTAGATCCGTTTTAGGAACTTGACTCGCTCGTTTTTTTTTTTCCAACGAGCACGAAAAGCAGCGTGTGCATATCGGGTACAGGAGGTATAGAGGAGCAAACAAAGTGACTTATCAGCTGCTATCGCGCGGCACAGGCGCATACATTTACACATAAGTATACATATATAAACACTCGTATATATATTTGTAAAGGGTATGTCAGTAGCTCGGCGTGCAGTTTTCCTCAACTCACCGGTTTCCCACGCGGCCTTGTTGCGCTTGTGGTAGCTCCGTCGCCAGGGATGCCGCCAGATTTTTCTCGGTATCAACTTTTTGTCAGGCAGGAAAGCGGCGAAGCTGCCCTCCAGCGTGTCCGGATCGCCGCATATTGCGTGGCTCGTGTCGCAGTAGTACGTGCACTTGCCGTGAAAGCACAAGTTACCCGCCGGACTAACGAAGAACGTCTTTAGAATGTCCCCGTCCGTCACCTGATAGATCTCTGCCGTTATGTTGAGCTTCCGGCCCGTCACTGGCATACCACGCCGGAAACCCAGCAACCTGGAATCATTTTTTTTTTTTCCAAGTTATTGTGAAGAGAGAGAGAGAGAGAGAGGGATGCTCCGATTTCTTTTTCTCCGCGGCTACTCTGTCTACACAATGAAGCTGTAGCTCCAATTTCCACGACTCGGCACTTTTTTCTTCTTCTTTTCCTTCCTTTAACGTCTCATTTATTCATCGCGAATTACGCTGAATTAGGAAATTTCTCCTATATATTATGTATACTACCTATGGTGGGTGGGATGAAAAATCCGGAGCGCGCGATGATTGGTCAATTAAAATGAAATTTTATATTGCTGAAGAATTTCGACGCTTTTGTTGCTACCGAGATATTTATTTACTATTAATAAATCGATTTGGCATTTCCTTGACGATAAACCTTAATAAAATATTGATGGTATTTTTTTTTTCCTTTAACTTTTGTTATTATTTTTACAATATTTAATTTAAAAAATGTTTCTTTGTTTATTTGTTTATTTATTTATTTATGGAGCAAAGTTATACGCGCGTGCTAACAGACAGCAAAACCAGGAGCAATTGTTATTATTAAATAATACCAAAGAATTTGAGAATGCCAAGGAAAGAGATGACGAAAAAGCGGGACTCTTTCGTTGAATATTGTATATTTTAAATCGCAAGGCGATGGGTTTAAATTTAGAAGTGCGGGTGGTATCATGTGGCGGAGACGCTACTCACCTATCCAAATGAAACGCCGCGATTTCGGCGTGATGGCGCTCAAAGTCCGTGAAGTAAAAGTGATTTGGAAGGGTCTGCGTGTCGCGTGGAAATCTGCCGGCACAAAAAAAAGAAACAAATGAGATGTGGAGGAAAACGAATAACCAACTGGTTGGTTTATTTTTTCGTTTGCGCCTGTGCAGCTCTTGTCTCGTTTTTATAAAGCTCCGTTTATTTACCTGCAGCAACTATTTATGTATGTACAACAACATTACAGCGTCCAACCAAACTTGACTTGTAAAAGTTGAAATTTCATTCCTCTGATCGCTAATGATTGAGAGTGCAAGAGAGAGAGAGAGGGAGAGAAAACAAGATTACAAGATTAATTTCCAGCCACTCGAGTGGCGAAGAAAAAAAAAGACCGGTCCAGCCAAGCAGGGCTCGTTGGCGCGTTGCCCAAATAAAAAGGCAGAAAACAGCTAGTTTCAAGTAAAAGCTCGTTGGGACTTCCGAGCGTGACTTGTACGTCGCGAGAGTGGCGAAAGCTTCCCGCTACCACCTACGGGATAGTAGGTAATGCGATTACCGATTTATCCACGTGGTTACGTAACGATATACATAGTTGTGTTTCCGTCTCTTCTCCAATAGAGACTCACTTGTATTACTTTTAAAATGCTTGTACGAAAAACTTTGATGACCGATCGTACACTTACTTCAACATGACAATCCCACGTTTTCATCGTTAAACAAATAGTTACGTCTACAAAAGGTCCGTTGGATTCTTTTTTTTTTTTTTTTTTTTTTTTCATAACACCATTCGTTAAGGAAATAACTGAGTGCGCAAGAGAGTTTCCAAGAACGATTTTTTCTCCTTAGCCTCTTCTTTTTCTGTTACCTACTTACCAGGGATGCGTGCAATAAATGATTATTGTACTCCGAGGAAAAGATAGCAGATAACGAGCAGAGAGAGAGAGAGAGAGAGATTACTTATATCGATTCGCTTATAAGTGTAAATTTGTTCTGCGTGAATCAGTGTAAAAACATAATTATATAGGTAGGCGCACATGTCACATGATAGTGTGCAGTACTCTGTTTGTGTATGTAAATATACTTAGTTAATTTGTTTTTCCATTTTGTGCGATATAGGTACCGAATATTGTGGGTATCACGCGCGGCGCGAGCGAGGTCGGTTACTTTGGCAACAAACGGAAACACTCGAGTCCCTGAGACGTGAGAAAATGCAACAGCACGGGCTAGTTCATTGAAATCTCTCGGGTACTTTTGAATACATATAGGTATACCTATGTACCCACACTCATAAACACAATACGTAATCAGGAGGGCAAGGGAAAAATATGTGGTTACTTTGCTCCCTGCGAGAGGTGGAATCGTTTGTAGCATAAGCCGAATATTGTGCACTGCCTCCGAAAGCTTACAAGCTCAATTAGCCACTGCGTCGGTAATTAAACCTCTTAACGCTGGCTTCACGACCGTACGAGACGCACACTGCACGTGCATCAACACGGCGAGCGCTGCAGATAAAGACAAATAGAACCGCACTCGCTACTTGTTGGCCATTATTACATACACTAAAGTACTGCACAAAAGTGTAGATACGTGTACAGCGGTGAGAGGAAAAAAAAAAAAAAAAAAAAAAAAAAATTATAGCAAGTAGGTACTTATAAGTATACCCTGAGCGCGAGAGGAAGAAAAGAAAGACAAAGCAGGCGGTGCATCAGGCGCGGTAAGTAAGGAGGTATACGTGTACATATTATATAGCAGACCGTTAGCCGCGTCTGCGCCGTTAACGGATTAATCGCCGACTAACTATACTTACTTAAATACGCACGATGCTCACGCCTCCTGACTTCATACACCTTGTATGTTACACAGAACGGGTGTAGGTATACCTATTACTCGCCATACCTTCTCATGATATTTAAATATTATTTTCCGTGTGTTTAATATATTAAGTATACCCACGTGCAGTGTATATGCAGTAGCGCGGATAATTAACAATAATATACTTGAGTGTTCGCGTGTATGCTCCCCTTATCTGTCATATGTCGTGCCTATACAATTAGATCCGTTTTAGGAACTTGACTCGCTCGTTTTTTTTTTTCCAACGAGCACGAAAAGCAGCGTGTGCATATCGGGTACAGGAGGTATAGAGGAGCAAACAAAGTGACTTATCAGCTGCTATCGCGCGGCACAGGCGCATACATTTACACATAAGTATACATATATAAACACTCGTACAAACACACACAAAAAATAAGAGAGCATCATCCCTACCTCATTGGCTTGAACAGAGCTTGCATCTTGTTCGGATAGTCCATGACGAGTTTGAGCTGCGTCCCGCCAGACTTTTCAGCTGAAAAACCATCCTACATTTAGCACAAATGATCAAGTATACCTGCACTTTTACACGAGCATCATATCGTAATTAAATTGCGAGACAAGGGAAAGAGCATGTTTATACAAAGTATGTAAACCGTACAGGCGTGGACGATCGGCTGGGTGGCCATGTAATCCAGGAGCTCCTCGACCAGCGGCAAGTCCTCCTCCCTGTACAGCTCCCGTTTGCGGATCCGCGAGTGAAACCTTTCCAATATCGTGCTGTTTTTTCTGAAATTTTTCACAAACACACGCCCATACATAATATATACGTATACATGTATATACCTACTTGTGAATTCTGTGCCACCCTTTCAAGGTCTCCTTTATTCCCAACTATTTTTAATTAATCTCTACGACTTGTTCTTATTCACCTGGCCTGCGTTTTACTTACATTTTTACGCTCAACGCGCCTTGCGCGATACGTGGACGGAAAAATACACACAAATTGTATATGTATAGGGAGAGAGAGAGAGAGAGAGAGAGAAACAAATTAACAAATAACCATAAGTTACGTGGTTACGTGTCACCAGTAGGGTCTATTGGGAGCAACAGCAAAGTCGTGCTAATTAAAGAGAACCTACACCACGTTAAACATGTACGAGCATGTGAGACAGTGTATTTTACTTGGCAAAAGAAAGAAGCGTATACTTATATATGTATGAGGTGTTGCGTCGTGTAACGGTGATACTATATATTATGTTGTTGTTGATGTTGTCGACTGTCTACCTGCCCATCTTTCTCTCTCTCTCTCTCTTCCTACTTTTTTGCACGGATGTAACCTACTCTCAGATAGGTTTGACAAATTTAGTTATTTCGAGCACTCAACTTTATACATCTGATTTTTCCAACGTAATTATTTTTGTTTTATAAGAGTGTACATTTTTTTTTTTTTTTTTTCCGAAAAGTGGACAAGTGAAAGTAAAAAAAAATTTTTTTTCCAGCCGCTGTATGCAGCTAAATGGTGATTGGAGAAAAGTGAAAACTAAAATTTTCGAGTGTGCGTTCTTCTTTTTTCGCTGATTACCGCGCGCTAATTGGTTTTTTTTTTTTTTTTTTCACCAGCAGCGGCAAATAATGAAAACTAAAAACAGCAGCAAAGGAGGATTGAAAATTTACTGTTCATCACGCATCACGTACAGGCTTACATTTTTGCAGCAATTTCTAAAGTACCCATCGCCATTAGATGCGCCAGCTCGCACCTGCACGCGACTGTATTTTTTAACTTTTAATTGCTCGTTGAAGTCAGTACATATTATATACAATAATTGCAAAGAGTTTGAACAAAAAATTCGATCGGCAACAATTTCTCATTGGTTGTACAAATAAAAAAAAAACAACCTTTGGTGCTCCAAAGAGGAAAAAAAAAGCAAAATTTTTCGTGCGAATAACTTTCTACCGTACGAATGAATCGCGAGTAGTAGGTGTACACCTGCAGAGCAGAGACGGTGCGAGAGCACGGGATTTAATAACAGTTTAAAAAGACTACATGTTGCACCTACGCATATAGTGATTGTACGCCAGCCACGAGCAGATCATTGATATTGTTTAGGGCAATGCGTCTGTCGGTTATTAATTAATATAGGTACGTTTGTACGAAGCTCATACAGTACCACACCAGAGAGATTTTTCCCAAGATTTACACCGGGAAGAAACCGAGCTATAAAAGCGCGTCTTCTCTTATCTGTGCTCGCTTTGCTGTACAAATTTAAAGAACAATTTCCTTTCTACTCTCGATTGGGGAAAAAAAAAAATAAATAAAAAAAAAAATTCGTTCTCAATACTGCAGCCATTATTCCGCCTAATCCTGGGTGACTTTGGGATTATAATTTTTACAGCCGAGTCGTTTCGCTGACGCACGCGGCAGTGGAGCAGCGCAACCGGCCTTTTTTTGTCGTCACCGTCGTTACCGTCGCCATCTCTTTTAAGATGGAAAAAAAGGGGGAGCGGGGGGGGGGAGAAACAATGAGCGAGACTCGATGATTCCAGACTTTCGCCTCTGTTGTTGTTTCCCGCTGCTGCGACTATTGACTATGATTTTGTGAGGGAGCTCGGGTTTCCTACGTGTACCCTACCTGCGGCTCATGGCTTCGTTTAACTTTGTTTCGGCCTTTTGTTAGAGTTTCCTTATACATTTATCCGACCAACTTTTTAATTGAGTTTTACGGTGGGTAAAAAATTGAATCGTCTCGCATAAACAAAAAGCCAAAAGGTATTTTTATTTTACCATCTGTGGTGGTTTCCATAAATATTTACATTATACTTTAAAGCGCCGTAGGTGAATACTAAGCTTACAAGAAAAAAATTCGATTGCCATTGAATTAGATGAATAGGATTTTTTTATAAACTACCTTTGATGCTTGTGATAGGAGTTCAAGTACATACGGCTATTAATTTGTCATTAAAATGGTTTCAAACTTTCCTTTGATAACGACTCTTTAAATGTACGAATTTTTACTTAACTAAGTTTCAATCGTGGCACTTTAATTTAAATTCATAACAATATTTTTAATAATCGTATGCTCACGTGTACCTGATCATCTCATTTTTGCACCATTTTCCTTTACTTCAAGGCTAAATGTGACATATATGTNATCGCACGCTTGCAGGCAAACAAACATCCAGATGCATTTCCGAGGCTGCATCGCAGTTGAAAAGGGCAGTTTAAACTCGATTGGCCTGCCTTCCACCCTAAGCGCTCTCTCTCTCATCTTCCTCTTAAAAATTTGAAGGCCTCTCGGCTTATCTCCGTTTTTTTTGCTACTAATATTTATACTTATAATATAATAAAAGGCTCTCGTGAATCGAAAAAATGGCATACCTAATAAAGAATAATTAATCTGCTGCATTGGCCTTGCCCGTTAGAGCGCTTTTAATGATATGTGAAGAAACCGGTTGCGCCACTATCCACAACACACAAGCATGATTAAGCTTTTGTCTAATTCTTCGTGTTTAAGTGTATATTTGTTTAATGAGAAGAGCAAGCTGTTCTTTCTTCTCTCGACTTTTTGGTCTTTTTTTTCAATAGCGAAACGAATATACCCTCATGCGACCAAACTGAAGAATTCGTAAGTATAGAGACGCGCTCTCGCGAATTCTTATCGGTCACTGGGTAAGCCCATGCATACCTACTCTCGACGTGTTTTGTTGATATTGCTCAATACTCACTCGCACGCGAGAACGTGCTTCAAATAATCAATTACTCGGCTCTTTTAACCGCTGGAGGCGCACTTGTGCCAAAACTCTTTCGTCACCGGTTATATTAATTCTTTTTTTTTTTTTTTTTTTTTTTTGTCGTAAACTTGCACAATTGCAGTTTGTTTAAGCTATGGAAAAGTAAAGTCTGTTGTCCCCGCAAACAAAAGCAAGAACGTTGTCAAACCCGACCTCACGCGTTACATTACAATATACCTACACTTACTTGGCTGATGCAGGTATACATAGGTAGGTAGTAATCTCTCGAGCAAAGGGGCGTAACGGTACACCCTGAACTCGCTTGAGCATCTATATCATATACATCAAGGGAGGCAACCCGATAGGCAACCTACAATAGATGTGTGTGTACTCTCGACTCACCCCATCTTAAAATCCTTGAGGTCGGCGATGCTCGGGTTATCCCGCTCGTCCTCCTCGCTGGTCCTGACCACTGCCCCGATTTTTTTCACGCTGGCCACCAGATCGGCAAAGTCGTCGTGCGGTGCTTCCGTGGCGAGCTGGGAAGTCTTATGGCCCGCGGCGCTCGTCGACTCCTCCTGCGGCTGATCCGTCGCCGCGTAAGCTTCCCTGCTCCCTTGCGCTCGTGGCATGAATTTACGCCTGATATATAACCAAGAGTTTCCGTTTCACTTTTTATCCTTCCCACGGGGGCAACGAGCGCGCTTCCAAAAAATGCGCGTTGCTCAGCACCAGCGGGTACAATACAACATACATATATGTATATCACGGGTGTATACTACCGAGAACATACCGCCATCAGCGCAACCCGATCCGGCGAGTGCCCGAAGCACGCGATACCAATGAAAGGGGTAAAGAAAGGCAAAGTGCATGCTTGTAAGGATAATCGTCACCTGAAGTTGTTGTAAACGGTGTCGCGTTGCGGGTCCTCGGCCATCCTGTACCTCCCGTGACTGGGCAGTAGATGGTGCCCGCTGTAGCCCAGATCCAATTGCAGATCCATCACCAGGAGAAACGTACAGACGATGGCCAAGCCGGCCAACGCGAGGATCAAGCGCTCCTTCAGTCGGAGGGCCCTTGCGGCCAGCTTCATCACGCCCTCCATGTGCCGATCCCGATGATGGCCCTGCACCACTTCTCGCTGTTTGGGTTTGGGGGGATTAGCCGGCCTTGCCTCCTCTACGCTGCTGCTGCTGCCAGCCGCTGCTTGTCGGCAGCATCGCGCCTCTTCCCCTTTTTGCGTCGCAACTGGCCCGTTGTTGCTCTTCGCCTCCGGTGGCGGTGAGCACTTGGCCTTGCCGTTGACTCCCGGCCGAGGCTCTCGTCGTCCCGATGGCTCCCCGAAAACGACTTTTGCTGCAAAAATAATTTAATCCCGAGGTAAGGCTTCCTCCGTTGGCAGGTATACGTGTACATATCACCCATCGACAATCAAATCGCCAATTTTTAAGCCTTTCCATGTACATGGAATGGAGTTTGTGAGTTCACCGTCATTTTATCCATGTGGGGGGGGGGGGGGATCACCGAGTTCATTTTCAATGTGACGGTTAACTCTTGAACTCCATCCCATGTACACAATTAAATATTAGAAGGAGACTGAATGAAATTTCTGGAATATAACTGTTAATTTTCGTCTAAAGTCCACATTTGCACGCTTTTTTTTTTTTTTTTTTTTTTTTTCTTTTAAAGCATCAAAACAAGCAAAAAAACAGCAACACGCGCACACGGTATACGAGCGCACCTCTACCAGTTTGACAACTAATTCCGATGTTGATGCAGGACTCGGGCGCCTCTGTGCCACCACCACTATACCCGCGGGTGTTTAAGAATGTCCGGCCCCGAGGGCCGCCTCTCGTCTCTCGGGGCCATATCACCGCTGCTCCGTGTCCAGACTTACTCATGCACGTTTATACGTGTATATATATATATCTACTTGGATATAGCACGTGTACCGGCAACACGGTAGCAGACCCACGTCTATTTTCACGTACCCCCGCTATACTCTTGGGTTATATTATACACATAAATAAAGTAGTAAGTGCGAGTGTGGCCCTGCAACAGACAGATATAACGTAATATAAATGTACACGTGACCGTGTTTCTCTTCTTTTCCTTTTTGCCGCTTATCTCGGAGCAACCGCTTCCTTTTTTTTTTTTTTTTTTTTTTTTTTTCCCTCTTTTTAAGTTTCATTTTCGATCGTCTCTTCCGGTTGTGAAATAAAATTAAGAAGCGTGCAGAAAGATAAATCTTTTTTTTCGGGATGGCTGAATTACGCATCACTGCAGGTGAAATGATAACATTATTATTCGTACGTTACTGTCGCGCGAATATTCCTCAACTTTCTTTTCCCACTTCTATAACACCCTCGCACCTAGGTATATAATAAAACAATAATGCGTATGCCGAGCGCATCAATTACTGCAGTTATACTTAATGAGTGATCTTTTTTATTTATCTGCGAGATCAATTTCCTTTTCTTATTCTACACGCACATCATGTATTACTTGAGTACAGTTGATAATGTACTCAAGTAATAGAGTACATTATCAACTGTACTCAAGTAACTATTACGTAAATGCACTTATTTTTATTTATTTATTTTATTTTTTTTCGCTTTGTGTTCGAAGCGCGGGCGCGGGCGTTTGATGATTACTTCATGCGTGTTCAACCCATACATAAATGCATGGCGACACTGGCAGTGATGTGTTTCGGATTTTGAAAAAATAAATTTAAGATAAAAGGGGGATGAATCTTCCTTTATTTCAAGTAATTTTTTTACTCCTCCGTACATGGATTCGTATGGACGTTAAAATGGTCATTTGGTTCTTCGGTTCAAACTGAAAAAACTCGACATTGCCGATAATGTTACTGATAACGCGACGCGCAAGTTCGTGATACCGATAATAAAATCTAGAAGCTTTTTTTTTTCAAGCCATTCGGACAGAGACCCCATTAGGCATTTTAATACCCATCGCACACTTACGTATAATATCTAATATCTAATAATATATGTTCTATACACAACAGTATAAATAATATTTACATAAAATATATATTTTATCACGTCCTTGATGGGATTTCGTAATTTGGTAAAAATCCAGAGTTTGCACGAAGCCTTAGAATATATTATATTGTTTTCCTTCCTTAGGACAGAGTAGCGTTCAGTCCTGATGTGTGTATACGTTCCGAAAAAAAGAATACATAAAAACTAATTGGTAATCCGGTCGAAACTCACATAAAATAATGCCATGCACTCTCGAGTATGGAGTTCTGCGGAAGAATAAAGGACTTAGGTATGCGATGATAAAAAAAAAAAAAAAAAAAAAAAACATGCGTGCTAATAATAATCGTTACACGCGAGGTCGAGTTTATCGTCCGACGAGTAGAGCATCAGAATCCGGGCGAGAGAGCGAGTTAATCCGCGATCCGAGAGTCGAATCGAGGCTGATATAGGAGGAATGAGCAATGTGTATGAATGGATACACGTGTATACATATAATTATATTATTCTGATGATAGTCTCGGAGACTCTTGTGGCGGTCTAAAAGGTAGGTAAGCAGCAGCCGATACTTTAGTAAAAAAAAAAAAAAAAAAAAAACAGCCACGCTGGAATGCGATCGCACGCTTGCAGGCAAACAAACATCCAGATGCATTTCCGAGGCTGCATCGCAGTTGAAAAGGGCAGTTTAAACTCGATTGGCCTGCCTTCCACCCTAAGCGCTCTCTCTCTCATCTTCCTCTTAAAAATTTGAAGGCCTCTCGGCTTATCTCCCTGTGTATAAATATACATATATCCATATAGCGGCTCGGCTCTTTGCTATAGATTATACGAGTTTCGTTTCGACCACTATCCGGTGCACTATTATAAGTATACATGCGTTGTGTATCGTAGATACAGCTTGATCCCTCATCGTATAGCCCCCCCCCCACCACCCTTGTATTTTTAGAATTTCATATCGGCCTACTACTACTGCAATTATGTGTGCGTAGAATATATTATTAAAGTGTGCTTACTACACGTTGGGAATACTGCAAAAGAATCCAGTGTTTCAGTGATAGCACCAATATAATTATAATTTTTAAAAAGTAATTTTATTGAAAGATGAACTGAATTAATTTTTATGTGGGTCCACTAAAAATTATTCTCTCATTTTACCACGTACAGATGCACGCATGGTGATATCAGAGGAACATAAAACTGCTGATGTGACTATATATACTCCACTGTAGATATCCATATAGGTTATCCATATGATAATAACAATAACGTAATATTATGATCCTCTCTGATTTTTTAATATAGGTATATCATTATACCTACTTGGTAGGAAATGAAGTAAGTTAGTGTACGAAATGTCGAATAAAGTATATTTATGGTTATCCTCGTTATTTTTAATTACACCGACCTTCTTTGTATGTCTATTGTTATTATTATTATTATTGTTGTTGTTGTTGTTATTATTATTATTGTTGTTGTTGTTATTATTATTATTATACGCACATGGATCGACGTAAACATGTTTTGCGTCACTAAAACACAGGCTAAATTATCGATCAAAGGCCTAGAGCACAGCATATTCGTCAATATTAATGCGCACCCATATATTATATTATATGCAAGTGTATTTTGTATTGTTTTCTGTATATTACAATAGAGATACAGTGAGACGAGTGGTTTTTTTTTCATATACACATTCCGTGAACATATACCTACCTACCTATTTTGCATACGTATAAAAACGTAAAAAAAAAGCGCCGATACGGGATGTTACGAGCAAGCTGTACAAAGGGGAAATAAAAAAGAAAACCAATGCGATAGTGCACTTTCAATAATGTACATCACGTATCGCGCTCTATTTACAGCTGTACCCATATTTATTACATCGTATGTACGGGCATAAGTACACCTGTAGCTATATCGCGCATCACGAACCATCTGCAAATGACGCGTCCATCCGATCACTTGATAATGTGCCTCTCTTTATTTGCGCGCGCGCGCACGTGGTGTACGTCTTTGCTGGTTGTAAATGAAGCCACCACGACTGTATATATAATATTATACGGCTGATGTATATAGGATCTCGGAAAAATCTGTTGAATCAACAACGAGAAGAAACGCGCGGATAAGGAAACACGATTATCTTTCGTTTCCAGCTGGTTGGCATGTTTTTACGCAATCGAGCGATGCTGAGACATTACGTGTAGGCACGTACCTATAAGTAATATACTTTCGGATGATTGGAGGAACTAGAAGCGTGACGGATTTTACTCTTTTCTTTCATTTCTTCAAATGTCGGGCTGCACCCGTGAATAAGTTATTGTTGCGCAAGGGAGAAATTCCGCCCCTCCCCCTCTCCCCCACTCTCCCCGGTCGCCTAGTTCAATCACAAGTGTCGCGCGAACGACAGGTATACAATTTACCATTCTCGGCGAGGTATGAAAAAAAAAAAAAAAAAAAAAAATTGCACCAAAGTTGTCCATGTAAATGATCGCAGCTACTGGAAATTCGAGATATTATAACGTGGTATAAATGCACCTGCAGCTTTGACGCCTCGATTTACCAGTTTGAAAATGAAAAAACAAAGCCGTCCCATCGATCACTCGCTCAACGCCTAATAATAATTATTCTTGCTTGCACACACACACACACACATCACGTTGTATAGTACGTGGCAGAGAGAGAGGGACTAGCTGTAATCAAAAGTGGTTAATAGCCAAAGTAAAAAGTTGGCGGTTCGCTTGCTTGCAGCGCTTCGTATTGCGTCAACGTGGACGCGTGATGCAACAACAAACAATAGCTGCGTAGGTACTTATCCTCGACGCCAAGGAAACGATCGCTGAAAATATAGTCCTCATACCGGCTCCTGTTTCAACTCCATGATGACGTATAAATATGGTCCTATGATAAGCTCGAAACGACAAGGGGTTGTCGTTGCAACTAAAAAAAAAAAAAAAATCACTACGCGTAAACCGAAACGTACGAAATCATCATCATCATCATCATCAGCGTGCAATGAGACTTCCCAAATGGGTGCTCGACTATCGTATAGGCATTATAAGTATTATAAGTTATTCTGTTCTTTCTCTCGAGTGTAATTAATTTCTCCCGATACGGTCTTTCATATATATATATATATTTATATGGCACGCAACGTCATTAAGTATACGTGCCAACAAAGGCGAGTAAGTGTCTCATTCTCACGGAAGCTACGTTTTCTATGTTTTCTCTCTTTGCCTACACAGGCTCCTGAAAGTTAAAACCACCTACGTTGCGCGCTTTAATTTCACGGCTATGAGTGCACACGCACTTAAACAATAGGTATACATAGGTTATACCGATATACATACTTATACATATTTATACACAAGTGCACAAAAATATTTAAAATCTGACACAGTTCCTAGACCACTGAACCCTTTGCGTATTTTGGTCACCACATTGTCTTCCTCTTCCCGTACCAACTAGAATTCTATCGATGTATATGTATATTATATATATACATTTGTTTCTTAAACTTTTGCCAGAGACGCCTTACTTACACCAAAAAATTGCTAAAGATGGCGCATAAGCTTTTGTTTTCTTAAAAGAGCAGCTCGCACAAAGGAGCTTTCTTTATTGGGGAAGGGGGGAGGGGGACCAAAAAAAGGCACAGACATTAGCGCCGAAAGAGGACAATCAGATTGGAGAGTAAAAAAGGAGAGTGGCTGGTAAAAGGTGGCACGGGAATTTGACGATAAACAGTTGGACACCAGCAACTTACAGACAAAACGAAAAAATAAAATTTTGTCGAGGAATTAAGGAGAGAAGATCCAGTCCCTCGTTAGCCGAAAGGGAGATAAGACAGCGTGTGTATAAGTATATACAGGGGGGGCGGATGAAGATTGAAGACGCACATAGGCGTAGTTTACACCCAAATAGAAAAGTAAGGACTGTACGCAAGTTCCACCCACACCATCTCGCCATTGCGCAACAATACAAGTCCACGGAGGCGGAAAATTCTCTCCGGAAGCCCGACGCCTATGGATGTATATAATATGTACACTGGCTTTG